TAGATGCAGTTTTGTCAACAATGTGGTGCGCATGGAGTTGCGGAAGCTTTATGTTGAAGAGGCGAAGGGCAATTCCTGCTGTCGCCAACGACAACACAACCGAAAAAACAAAGTCGTGCAGTGTTACCAGATGCCTGCATACCCTACTCGAAGAGCTGCACAGCCAACCCAGGGCGGGCCCTTGCTCATGGATTGACAAAGCATTGCGCTGCGTTTTTTTTCTGGCTGCAAAATGTGCGAAGAGACTGTTGCGGCAGCAATTCAAGTGAAACACTGGCAAGACTGCGTGGCCGCAGTTTGCGTCTAGCGATGCTCGAAGACTGTCTCCTTGTGCTTGATTGTCTCCTTGGACTCATTCTTCTGATTCAGCAGCTTAATAATCATCATCTCTATCTTGTTGACACGGCCTTGCACCCCTGTCAGCTCGTCCAAGATATCCTTAAGCACTTCCTCGGGCGGGAGCGGCGGCGGACTCAGCCACGGCGGCGGCGGGGAGGTGCTGGTCCACGCCGAGGATGCCTGCGATGATGGCGGCAAGCGATCATACACGGCGCCCACCCAGTTAGTACACATCGGCGGTTCGCAATTTTCGGACCGAACTTTGAAGGCCTCATCCCTGGTGTAGCGCCAGCTGTGCTGCAGGCCAGCCTCAGCCTTTCCCTCCAGCAGGCACACGCAGCAATCACCTCAAAGTTCCAACCGCAAACCATCACACCGCTGTCTTTGAAGGCCTTCTTCTTGAACAACGGGGTCTTGCATTTCCATCCGCAGACATCGCACACGGCCTGCCAGTCAGAATTCCACGGCATTGTCTGACTGACAGCTGCGTTTCCGCAGATGTTCCACAGATGTTCCTTAACAGCTGCGGCGGGCAATTCAACCATCACGACATGAACACAGCATCCCTGACACATGTTTCAAACTGTTCACAGGCGCGCCCGAGCAAACACAGGCACGAATCGAAGACTGCAGCTCTACCACCATTAGCCTTGCGTAAGAGGGTCTTTTTCTTGTTCCGACCTTGCGCCCGAAACGTGTAAAGTCAAGACTAAGCTACTGTTGGAATTTGCAGAGGTGTTGGCCATTAACAAGAACCAACTGCGGGCACGCAGTTGGTTTTCGCGGCAGCAGCGCTGCGTGGAACTCCGGCAGTATAAACATGGGACATCTATCGCCGGCGCAATTCAGACTCTAACTTCTCCAGCTCCTGCGTGCTTTGCCACAATTTGTGATCGATGACCGTCGTAATTGCCGTCTGCCACATGCGGAGCGACATCCTGCGCATAGACTCAACCTGAAAAGTCTCTGCCCCTCTCAGAATCAATAAACAGCTGCTGCCTGCCATTGCGCGTGTTTTGGAACTCCTCGATGAGGTCCAGCGCCGAATCCAGATTGTGGTACTCCTGCCTCATCAGGATCTCAACAGCTACCACCATCTGCAACTCTTCCTTTAGGTGTTCCATTTGCGTTTTCAATGCCTCGATCTTCCGTCGTCGAGCCCCAGCCTCGGTCATGGCGCGCAACGCAGGTGACTGTTCCATCCTGGCTCCCCTAAAAAAAGGCCAGTTTGGACCAGAGCGCTGCAAAGTAAATTGCACAAAAAGCATCTCAAATTGACAAATATTGCCCCAGGTGCTATTTTTCTTGCCTGCAAACAAGCATGCGGCAGCAAACACATCGTTTCTCAGGCTGCAGCAGCCCCTCAAGCTCAGCCCAAACACTCACTGTGTTGCCGCAGTGTGTTCGTATATGAACTCTCGAAGCACCGGCTGCAAGTCCTGTATCAGGACATGGACTGGCCAGAGTATGGCCAGAAACACACACTCTGCGTCGTGGCCAGCGGCAAGACCGCCCCACACATCCAGGGCCTCGCTCACCTGCAACATTTGGTCATGGAGAGTGCGCAGCTCGTCAAGCTTAACCTTGTTCAGCTTCCCCTTCATCGGCCGCAGCATCTCGTACTCATCAAACATCCACAAGACGTCCTTGTAGCGCACATCAGTCACCGGTGTCTTGTGACAAAAAAAGTGTTCAAGCACAGTGCATGTGGCGCAGCACTTGCTGATGATCTTGGAGTTCATCCGGTTGTCTTTGTACAGAGGGCCCAGAGTCTCGCAGACCTTGATGAGCATCGAGAAAGGGATCTTGTCTGGTTGCCCGCAAGTGATTCGTTGGATGTCTTCCGCCAACTTGTATAGGCAATCCCCCCCACAATGCCAGCTGAGCCCTCTTCCAAGTACCTGGATGCCATGGCTTCGCCAGCTTTGGTTGCAAAGCTGGACAACGAGTTGAAGCCGAACCGAAGCTGAGCCAGTTGAACCGAATGGGCGGGCGGCGGGCGAAAACTCACTGAGCCGCACGCAACGCTGGCAGCAAAACAGACACGCTTTTCCTTGTGCTTTGTAAAACTCAGGAGTTGCCAAACTTCTCAGGCAAAGCAAAAACCTAAGCTGAGCCGGGCTCTCAGGGGAAAGGCTGTGTTTCCGCAGCCTTTTCTAGATGCAAGTTCAGTCAGAGTTCAAGGGTAAACAAGCTCACGCAAAGTCAAACAAGCATCGTCCAACAGCATCCCCAATGGTGTAAGAGGTCCGTCAATGTCGGCCAGTTCGTTCAAGAAGTGCAGAACCTGGGTCGACTCTTCCACAAAGGCCCGCTCTTCAGCAGTGACGCGTGGAAGTTGCGTTGGTCCTGGAGAGCCTGGAGAGCACAAATCCCGCACACGAGGCTCCCTGGCCATATCATCAGAAGGCAATGGCGAAATCAGCGCGCGCTCCATACCAGCAAGAACGACTGCGAAAGGAAACATCGCGGCTCTTCGCCCAGTTCTTTCCATGATCAACCGCAGGACCCGGCTGCATTTCCTGACAATAATCTCGTCGTTCAATGACATGCAGCGCCACGCAATGCGCGAGCTCGTCAGCGTCACCCCCGTAAATGTCCATGGCAGCACGTGCGCCAAGTTTCACTACCAGCTGACATAGCAAAAACAACTCTCTGAGCCACCGGATTGTCCAAACATCAAGGCCCCCCTCCCTCCCCAAGATTTTCGGCAACAAAACACTTCCGAAAAACAGATTGTTTTGACAAAGAACGCGCACGCGAAAAAACAAGGTGTTCGGTCCAAAAAAAATCACACAAAAAAAGGCATAAAAAGCATGTCCTTAATGACCGGCCAGCTGTCCGGAGCTGCGAGAGCTTGCCCGAGAGTTCGGCTGGGACTGAGGCAGAGTCACTGGGTTCAGGCCGCAGGAGAAGGGGCGTGGCGTGTGGTGGGCCTGCGATTGCGAGGAGGCGCGGCTGCTTGCGGGGCTGCCGGAAGTGCTGCTGCCGGAGCGCAGCGTGAAGTGCTGGGGCTGAGTGGCGTCGTTCATGTTGTTGGCGGACCGGACGTCTTGCACAGCCGCGTCCTCACTGCCCTGCTGAGGCCGGAAGAGCGTGTTCTCCAGCGCCCAGCCCGTGCCTGCGAGTCCCACGGCCAACCCAGCCGTTGCCGCTGCGCCGACTCCTGCCGTCTTGGGCGGGGGGAGTGCGCTTGCCTTGGGCTTTGCCTTGGGCGGCGCTGCTCTGGGAAATCTCACCCTCTTGGGCCGGAAGGGGGAGTCGATTTCGTATGCTGGCTCTGTGGGCAGGCGGGGGGTCATGTTTTTGCTCTTCGGCAGGGGCAGCATGGGCGGCTTGGGCTTGTTCTTGCTGCCCGGGGGCCTGCCTCTTGGCCTTGGCGCCGGTTGCGCTTGCTTCATCGGGTTTTTAATAGGAAATATCTTTTTAAACGACCTTCAGGGGATTAGACGTGATCCAAAAACAGCAAGAACGACAAGGACTTGCCCTTCCAGATCGGTCAGCCGGAAGCGCATGTGTCTCAGGGTGATGGGGCCCCTCACAGCCATGAAGTGCCCGTCATCGGAGCCGGTCTGCCCACGCCGCTCTTCAGCGATATCTTGGACAGGATGTCGTCCCCCAGATTGCCCAACACGCGGCTGGCGTTGGCCAGCTGGGCGCAGCGCAGGTAGATCATCCTGACAAACTCGAAGACCTGCTGAAGCTCGGGCCGAGCATGTGGTCCACGCTGAAGGGCTTGGTCGGAGAGGCGGGCGGCGCAGCAGGGTAGTCCACAGCGTCTGGGAACTGCTGCTGCAGCTCCAGGTCAGGATGTGCCGTCGTAGGCTACGCTGTTCGTGGTCTCGCTGTAGGTGGCTGTAGCGAAGTTGGAGCTGATCCAGGCGGCCAGCCGATCCTGAATACGACATTCCGACCTTGGACTGCCTGGCAACTTCGGGACCATCCATGTCTACTGAATCCAAGAAGTACATCGGACCGAGATTGCCACCACGCACCACTGTCCAAGGACTTCTGCGTTCCGGCCGCCAGGGTGCGTCAAATGGATGCAAGGTCAGTGCGGACTTGTGCGGCCAGAAGTCGTGCGGTCTACAAACTTAGGAGATGACATGTTTTCCCGAAGCTTCCACCAGATTCAAAGATCAAAGCCGCAACGCAAGACCCCTGGAGGAACCTGTTGATTCTGGAGGCTTGTTGGAAGGTTGCCAGACAGTCTGAAAGGCCTGCGCTTTCCGGAAGTCCTCCAAACTTGACGGAGGACCGTAGGTTGCAGCCGATGGGCGAGTCGGTAGGCAACTCGCAGTCATGAGCAAGTGAGAAGCCCGTGTAAGCGAACCGGGACCGGTTCCTAGCTTCGGAAGGTGCGGCTCCCAAAAGGCGGCGGTTTGGTGGCGGTTTGGGCTTCTCGAAAGAGATACAGTTGTGATCCCATGGCTGTCAATACTGTATATTTCTGCTGACCGGCGCTGATGTTGATGCGATGACACTTGTGCCTGCGCAACGTGATGCTGCAGATATCCTGCAGTTAACGCAGCTGTTACTTTTTCGTACATTGCCCTGACAGGCTATCCGACTGCCCGTTTTTTTTCTCCGAGTCGCACTGATAAACGGAAATCCCTTGGCGGTGGCAAGTTGTTGCATGCTTGCGTCCGAAATCCATGTTCGCTCAAGCCGCCCTCTTCCGCGGCTCTTGCCTCGCCGACCCCGGTGACCCCGCAACGAGCGGATGACTCACGTGGTCTTCTTCAACCTCGGATCAGCGGGGCACATCAACCCCACGCTGCCGCTGGTGGGCGAACTGCGCGCAAGGGGCATACAGGTCACCTACTTTGTGGACGAAGGCCTCAAAGAGGTGCGCGAGTTTCGACAAAGGACGAAAGGGACAAAGCTGTAGCCCGACGCCAGCTGAAAGAAAAAAGGGAGGGGGTTTGCAGTGTGCGTCCAGATGATGTGTAACTGTTTGTCTGGTTAGGGGTGGGGATATGTTTTGGCTGTTGCTTGGACTTGGCGGTTGACCCAGGGTTCCCTGTGTCAGGAAACGGCGACCGTATGGGTTTGTTTCAATATGGGCCCCAAAACATGAGTGGTTTCCTTTTGGTTGCTCTTCAAAGCCATTCCAAAAAGGGTACCCTCAAAAACAACAGCTCATTTTTTCAAGAGCTCTGAGAAAACAGGGCACCCTGAAAAAAAACGGTACCCTCAAAGGGTATTTTCTCTTTGGCACTTCGAAAAGCCAAGCGCATGTCTGGGCTCTTGCCAACGCTCCGTTTTGGCCTGTGATAAGACCCGGTGCTTCTCCGGGGCCTTCGACCCTGACATCCCCCATGCCTTTCCCCACTCTCAGCTGCCCTCTGTGCAGGTTTGCCTATCTAGACTTGAGAGACACTTACTCCAAAGTCTTGGTCTCATTTTATCATATTGGAACATCTTCAGGCCTCAGAACAAGGGGGGCTTGATATTCGATTGGGTCGATTAATTTATTCTGGGGGTTACTTCCCATGTCTCCCGTTTTTTGGCCGCTGCGAACCAAAGCCCCGAGGTCTGCGAGGCCGCGGGCGCCCAGTGGCGCCACTTCCAGTCGGTGAACCGCGCCACGGAGCGGCAGCTCGCCAGGTACGGCGCGGACGACGTCGCTTCGAGCGCGTCCGGGGACTTGAGCTCGGGGCCCCGGAGAAATGGATGGCTCGGGTTTCTTCCGGGTTTCTCCGGTCGTTTTTTGGGGAGCTGGGGTTTGCCCCCTTTGTGATGGGTTGGTCTTGAGGATCTGGAAAGCCAAAAGGACAAAACTGAAATCCATTTTGAAGGGGCCGCTTGCGACACATGAATGGATGCTGATTCAGATAGGTGGGCAGATCGATCCATGGGAAAGGTTAAAAAAGACGGACAAGTATATAGATACGGGGGTGTTTTTTTTACCCCAACAAATGGCGGTGTTCCTTGTCACCTTTCAAAACCACAAAAAATAGGGCACCGTCAAAAAAACAAAAACACACCCATACATGGATAGGCAGGGAAACAGCGTAGGTAGGAATATCGGTACATTAATAGATAGACAGATGGACAGATTAGATGGATGGATAGATAGATAGACAGACGCATAGATGGACAGACAGATAAATAGATAGATAGATCGACAGACAAACGGACAAGAAGATACTTAGATGCGCAGATAGGTGCATGGATGAATAGGTAGTTGGATAGATAGACAAAGCAATAGATCAGTAGGCAGGTAAATGGATAGGAGGCATGCACAGGCAGACACAGCCACACACTGCATTCGGGTTCGTGGCTTCTATCAGTTTTCATTTGTCACCGCAGCGACTGTCCGGGACTTCCGCGTGCAAGACACGTGCAACCCGGGCCAGTGGAGCCCCAAATCGATGAGTCTGAGTGGTCAATTTCTCCGTCCCCGAAAATAAAAGACCCGCCGTTGGCAAATCACGTTGGGTTTAACCCAAACAACATCTGCCAGCTCCAGAATTGTCTACAACATTTGGAAGCAGTTGAATTGCAAGGAAAGACACCAATCCAGCCCAAACAAAATCCAACCTAACCAAATCCAACCACTTGGTTTTGAATTGAAACTGGTGAACAAGTTTCGGAATACCCTAAACCAAAGATTGGAATACCACTCATACTCATCAATTGCAAGGAAATTCCCAAACCAAATTTCCAACCCAAACTTGGACCGGGTTTTTCGACTTGGACCCCAAAAACGCTCCCCGGAACCGGGGCCACGGGTTGGACGCGCCACGCGCGCCACGCGCGCTCCGTCGGCCGATTCCCAGGCCGGGAGTTTCCCGTGAGCTCGCTGGCCGTGGCCGCCGACACGCTACCCGCCGTCATCCAGGCGCATGGAGAATGGGCGGGGGCGGGCGGGGGGGGGAAAGGGACACGGGGAGATGGGTGGCTCGTTTTTTTTTTGGGGGGAGGGAAATCCGACCCCGCCCCAACATGGGGCAAAATGGTGGTTTCCTCTTGGTTGCTCTTCCAAAACCAGAAAAAAAAGGGGGTTGCCTAAAAAGGCAAATTGGTTTTCCTCTTGGTTGCTCAAACAAAACCAGGAAAAAGAAGGGGGTAGCCTCAACAAAAATATGACAGACCCAAAGAGGGTGAACTGAAGCACTCCCCAAAAAAAGACACCCTCAAAAAGGAGAGACCCACCCCCCACAGGGCCACGCCTCGGACGCCTCGGACGCTTCCAGGAGCTGCGTGACTTGGAGCCCGCGGTTTCGGTGGTGGTCTACGACTCCTACGTCGCCCATGCCATGGTGGCGGCGCAGGTCCTGGGGATCCCCTACTTGGCCATGTTCCCCATGCCAGGCAGAAACCGGCGGTTCGCCGGCGATCGATCCGATTGATGGGTGCGAGTTCGGTAGGGAATGACGGTGACCCATGGTTTGGTGGAATGAACCGTCGAAGGGGAGTCCCGAATAAAGGAAACCAAAGGAAATGGATGGTTTACAGGGTTCATTCTCCCTGCCTATCGCACCAGCAAGTCTTCACACACACATGCGAAGTGAGAGGAGTTAAGATGAATCCATTGAGCTGTCGTTGAAGCCTATCCAATGAGCAGCTCTGGTTTTCTCATTTCAGCAGCAAATTTTTCGCCTTGCTGAGCTCCAACCTCTTCTTGCCTGGGGACCCTTAGGCTGGCGAGTCCAGACCCGAGGCCTGGTGAATGGCTTTTGCTTCAACCAGCTTTGATTCGTTGTGAGCTAAGCTCGTTCAATCATCTAGTTAGATCTATAAACACGGTTTGCTGAACAAGTCATTTGGTATGTTTTTTTGTTTTTATCAGATATGTTTCCCCCGGCTCCGGCTCCACCAGGTTATTTCACTGGCCCCACGGAAAGGCCCTGGCGTGCTGGTCCGCCCGGACAGCGTCATCGCTTCGTGGGAGACCAGCGAGGTGACCCGCCAAGCGCGGGAGGAGATCCTCGCGGCCTATGAGGTGGACATCTTGGAGCGTGGAGGGCTCATGGAGTTCCTCCGAAAGGTGTTTGGTCAGTCCACCTGATTTTGCTTTTTTTGGTCTCAGGGTGTGCTTTTTGGGGCTTTGTGTCCACCAGGTGTTTGGTCAGTCCACAGTGTACTTTTTGGTCGCTTCAGTGTGCTTTTTTCGGGTCAGTTGGTGAAGCCTATGTTGTCCATGTTATACGACCTAACTGGTTGGCTGACTATGCGATTTTCTAATTTGCGCATCACGGGGCTTGATCTCTGCATTGGTTGCAAGTGAGGTTCTACTCTGCACATGGGAGCCTCGGACGGCAGCCAGCAGTCATTTTGCTCAAGCACATGCGTTCAAACAAGCAAGCAACAAAATGTGTTTCCGTTGATTTTGAGTTGTTTTTCGACACGAAACACAGCATTCAACAGTGGATTTGTGCCTCCCCAAAGTATTCCAACCAAAACTAGACGCTTTCCGTGTGTTGGACGTGCACATGGTGGGTGTGATTCATGTTTGGGCTGCCATTTAATGTTCTTCATTTGTGTTTTGAACCAAATAACATGTCTCCATTTCTGTTTTCATTAAACATAATACACAATCAACTTGTATATTTTTGTATTTGTTTGCTTGTGTATTCATTCGTTCATTTATCTGTTTATTACTTGCGGTGACATCGTCAAACCCAAGCATCATGTTTGGTGACATGGGCATTGAGCTTGAGCGAGGCTCTTTCCCACGAAGGGTTCTACTTTTCGGCTCGGTTTCGGGTGGCAGCTTTTGGGCATTCCGAAACCTTCGCCATGGCACTCGATGAGATTTGGACAACTGAACTGTCCCCCAAAACAAAGGTCGCGATCCCCTGAGAATGGGAGTATCAGGGAAGATGTTGTGTTTTATTTGCCTGATACCTGTTCAGGAAGGTTTTTCTTGCTGTTTGTTGGGGTGTTCACAGTATTTGCCAGCGAACTTGGTCTGCTACTGTTGTTTGTTTGCGCGTTTCAGCCATAGGCAAGCCGGGGAAGCCATAATACCTACGCGTAAAGAACCACAGGTTGTTTGCTCGAGTCCCGTAATCCCAGGGAAACGGGATGATAAATCGATCTGCCCCTTTGAAGTGAACCGTTTTTTGGAGCCATGGATTTATCCCAATGTCGGGAGCCTCGGAGATTTGCCCGGGGCTGGATGTTGATCAGCAGCTTGTGTGAAGGCTTGACGAAATTGACTGCCATAGATTCATGCTAGACAAGCTGGCCATTTGACATTGTAAGCAACCAGTTTCTAAAGCTGGCCATTTCAAGCACCAGTTTCTCGTGCAGAGATCACTCTCTCGTCCGTTCACATGGAGAGGCATTTCGATTTCAGGCCATCCCATCTAGCTCAATCCATCCACCAGTGTTCAGATGCAAGCGCTCGGTTTGGGATCGTTTGATTGGCCACTTAGTCGTTTGACAAGGTTGGGGACCCACCCTTGGGGTTGCTACACTTCAGTGCCCTTTTCACCAGGAGATCACAAGGCGGCACCTGCGTTTGTAGCTTCCGTTTGCCGTTTGCCACGAATGGATCTGATCACAATGATCGCTTGATCCGAAGGAAGGAATGATGAAATCAGCGCGTTTGCAACCAGCTCACATGAAAATTGAATTCTTGTGCCCAAATTCGTGCACCATCCCATGAAAATCAGCCCAGCTCTCATGAAATTTGTTGAATTCTTGTGAGGCCCCCACCTCCGTGCCGAGGAATCTCTGCACCACGGTGGGGCCGCTCTTTGTGCCTCTGGCTTCCGCCATGCAGAAGCAGCGCTTCGATGGCTTCCCCTGGCACTGCGTGGGGCCCCTGCTGCCGAAAGAGCAGAAAAGTCGGGTGGCCCATCCCCTGGCGAAGGCGGACGAGCTGCCCGTAGAGGCGCCTTGTCCTCATTTGTTGAACTATGGTTGGAAGTGGGGTTTGGTGATTGGGGATTTGAAGTGGGATGGCTTTCCTTCAAAATCCGGCCCTCCGTATTGAGCGTTAAGGTTCGACCAGGAGTCAAGGACCATCTTTCGGGAGCCAAGGAATTCCATCTGCGATGCTTGAGTCGGGGAGCGCGGCGCATGTGTTTTTTTTTTCATTGGTGCTATGAGTTGTTTTTCTTTTAACTAATGCAAGCCTGCGCTGTGTTCTGATAACCCACCAATGGATGCCCTGGCGCCATTTTTTGTTCGCCTGTCACGAGGGGCCTTTGTTCAGCAAAAGACGGAGGGACGCAAGGGAGCCAAGAGATGCTCGCCGTTGGTGCAGGTTAGCGAACATAGCACGGAGGAACTCCAGGCTCAGGAAGGGAGCACTTCAGCTAAAGCACCGTTAGGCAAGGTATGTCCCGCGGACGGCAGGGAGTCATGAAGCCATTTGAGATATGTCTTATCTTACTTGATGTTTTAATTCATCTGAGGCTTTGGCATATTTAGGGATCAAACGTAGCGCTGTAATCAACACTCAAACATCTAGTGTGTGTGTGTGTGTGTGTTTGATTGTTAGATGCATTTATTCCACGACTTTCATGATCATCAGAGCCAAGTGATAAGAACATGTGTTGATTCACCTTGTTTTATTGCACAAATTGGTATTGATCACATGTGTATTCATGCAAAGCAAACAGCGCCTGGATGTTTGTCGAGCTTTGTTCGATGCAATGTGTTTGCAACACCGCAGAGAATTGTTTCATGCCAGTTTCAGTGTTGCACACGCCAACCCGTAGGCCCGTAAGATCTGCAACTTGGTGGCATTCTTCTTCCAAATGCTCGTGATTCGATTTGGACCCCCACAATTGTAAATGTTTCGCTTGAATTGGGCTGGCTTGGCCAGAGTCTTGCTGCTGAGCTGCCCTGGACTGGAAAGATTGAACTGGACTGGGCTGATGGGCTGGACTGGGCGAGCTGGCTGAGCTAAGCTGAGCTGGGCCAAGCTGAGCCAGCCCAGCTGACTGTGGGATGACTTGAGTTCGACTGCTCGCCTTGGCGGACTGAACGAGACTGGGGCTGACCGCGTTGTGCAAGCAAAACACGCTTGGGCCGGATGGGTTGGCGGGCAAGACAGGCCTGGACTGGACTGGACTGGACTAGACTGGCCTGACGCTGCTCAGCTAAACTGTGCTGAGCTGCACTGGCGGCTGGGACGGGCTGGACGGCAAGACAGCTAAACACGGGTTGGACTGGCTGCGCCCCAGTTGTCTCACTTAGGCAGGATAGACAGGCCTGGCCAGCAGGCGATATGCCTTTTGTTTTTTGCCCGAAAGCGTCGCGTGCGCAAGCTCGCTGTGCGAAAATGGCTCTGCGCAAATGGCGCTGGGCAAGTTGGTCTGAGTTACTTGCCTCTACGCAGATGGCTCTGCGCAAGTTGCTCTGCCCAAGTAGCTCTGTGCAGATGCCTCTGCGCAAGTATACATGCGCAGATGGCTCTGCGCAAGAAGCTCTGTGCAAGTACGCACTGCGTACATGGCTCGGGGCAAGTTGCTCTGCGCAAGTTGCTGTGTGCAAGTTGGTCTGCGGAAGTGATTTGGTGCAATTTGCTCTGTGCAAGTTGGTCTGCGCAGATGGCGCTGCGCAAGTTGCTCTGCGCAGGTTCACAAGTTAGGCTCGGGAGCCACCTGCGCAGAGATACTTGCGCAGAGCCATCTGCGCAGAGCAACTTGCACAGGGCCATCTGCGTAGGGGCAAGTAGTCTGGGAGTAGTCTGAATATGGTCTGGGCACGATAGTCTGGGCATGAGGCCCGGAGATCGGTGGTCAATGTCAAAAAGCTGAGGGTTGTTACGATTCTGCGACCCCCGGATTTTTTTGTGGGGATCGTGCTTGTCGAATCGCCCTCGCTGTGGTCTCGAGCGAATTTTGTCACTTGTGCTGCTAGCGAGCTGGCCCTTCGAAGTTGTCTTGTGGTTTGCGCGACTGCTCTTGCAATCGCACGGTTGCGGGTTCGATCCCGGTTGGGCCCGCAGGAGCATCGCAATTTTTAAGTGCGAAAGTAACACGCGCAGCTTCGGCTGGAAAAAACGCAATCTCTGGCTGGCTTTTCCGTACCAAAAGTTGCACGCGAAGCGCATTCCCGCGGAAAATCACAACTTGCGCAAAGAAACTTGCGCGGAGCACTCACGGAGAGCGACGTGCAGACTTGCGCAGAGCAACCCACACAGAGCGCTTACGAAGAGCAACTTGCAAAGAATACCTTTCACAAGGCAACGTGCGTAAAGCAACATGCGCGGAGATCGATGCGCAGACTTGCGCAGAGCAACTCGCGCAGAGCACAAGTGCATAGAGAGTGCCGCAACCACAACAACAGCAGCAGCAGCAACAACAACGACAATAACAACAACACCAACAACACCAACACCAACACCAACACCAACACCAACACCAACACCAACACCAACACCACCAACAAGAACAACAAGAACAACAACAGCAACAGCAACAGCAACAGCAACAACAACCACAACCGCAACCACAACCACAACCGCAACCACAACCACAACCACAACAACAACAACAACAACAACAACACCAACAACACCAACAACACCAACAACAACAACAACAACAACAACAACAACAACAACAACAACAACAACAACAACAACAACAACACAACAACACCAACAAACAACACCAACAACAACAACAACAACAACAACAACAACAACAACAACAACAACAACAACAACAACAACAACAACAACAACAACAACAACAACAACAACAACAACAACAACAACAACAACAACAACAACAACAACAACAACAACAACAACAACAACAACAACAACAACAACAACAACAACAACAACAACAACAACAACAACAACAACAACAACAACAACAACAACAACAACAACAACAACAACAACAACAACAACAACAACAACAACAACAACAACAACAACAACAACAACAACAACAACAACAACAACAACAACAACAACAACAACAACAACAACAACAACAACAACAACAACAACAACAACAACAACAACAACAACAACAACAACAACAACAACAACAACAACAACAACAACAACAACAACAACAACAACAACAACAACAACAACAACAACAACAACAACAACAACAACAACAACAACCAACCGCAACAACAACAACCACAACAACAACATCAACAACAACAACACCAACAGCGACAACAACAACAACAACAGCAACAGCAGCAGCAGCAGCAGCAACAACAACAACAACACCAACACCAACATTAACATTACCAACACCAACACCAACAACACCAACACCAACACCAACACCAACACCAACACCAACACCAACACCAACACCACCAACAAGAACAACAAGAACAACAACAGCAACAGCAACAGCAACAACAACAACGACCACAACCGCAACCACAACCACAACCACAACAACAACAACAACAACAACACAACAAAAAACAACAAAAACAACAAAAACAACAAACACAACAAAACAAAAACCAACCAACCAACCAACCAACCAACCCACCCACCCACCAACCAACCGACCGACCAACCAACCAACAAACAAACAAACAAACAAACAAACACACAAACCAACAAACCAACAAACCAACAAACCAACAACAACAACTACAACTACAACTACAACTACAACTACAACTACAACTACAACAACAACGACAACGACAACGACAACAACGACAACGACAACAACGACAACAACAACAGCAACAACACCACCACCAACACCACCAACAACACCAACACCAACAACAACAACAGCAACAGCAACAGCAACAGCAACAGCAACAGCAACCACGACAACCACGACAACAGCGACAACAACGACAACAACGACAACAGCAACACCAACAACACCACCATCAACACCACCAACAACACCAACACCAACAACAGCAACAACAGCAACAGCAACAGCAACATCAATTGCAATTGCAACAGCAACAGCAACAGCAACAGCAACAGCAACAGCAACAGCAACAGCAACAGCAGCAGCAACAGCAACCGCAACAGCAACAGCAACAGCAACAGCAACAGCATCAGCAACAGCAACAGCAACAGCAACAGCAACAGCAACAGCAACAGCAACAGCAACAGCAACAACCACAACCACAACCACAACCACAACCAAACCGACAACGACAACGACAGCGGCAACGACAAAGACAACGACAACGACAACGGCAACAACAACAGCAGCAGCAACAACAACAACATCAACAAGAACAACGACTTGCGCGAACAGAGCGCTCGCAAAGAGGCACTCGAAAAGAGCCACTCGAAAAGAGCTACCTGCGCAGAGAAGGCGCAGAGCAATCTGGGCATAGCAGCTTAAGGCAGCATCTTGCAGCGCGACGCTGCGCAGTCTACTTGCAAAGCCGCACTTGCGCAGAGCCAAGTCTGCAGGTTCTTTAGCTCATTATGTGGAACAGATTCATTTTTATTGGGGGCTTGTTATCATCGCGGTGGGAGGGTCGGGGGTTGGGCAACATGCTTTCGGGCCAATCGTGCTCTATTTTACTTTCCACATGTTCATCACGCTTTTGTGCAAAATGGACCTGGAGACATGTGTCGGGGCCGAAACTTTGTAAAAGGATCTGAGTGCCCCAAGGAGCCGAGGCGAATATGCTTTGATGGCCCCAGACTTGTTTTGTAGAACAGAGCGGTCAGACTGCGCAATGGAGTTAGCAGGAGCGCTTGGGGGACCAAACACGTCCCCAACGCATCGACATCTTCATTTTTACCTGGGTCCCCTGCCATCCCCTTGCGCTTTTTAGGTTCTTAAGGTTTAGTGATAGTTTCCGCTAAACCACTAAGGTTTAAAAACTTCAGCAGACTTGGGAACAACCAAATTACATTTTGCTTTGCTGTTTTTGTTGATGTTCAGAGATGTCTCATTTTGCGCGTCCCGTTTTGGAAAACTGGGCCAAGCTGCGAGCGTTTGCGGGGCGCGAGTCACAGGCGTTGGCTGCTGGCCGGCCGGTGGTGCTGCTCTCTTTGGGCACTGTGGCCACAGGCACCTTCTGGGCCACCAAGTTTGGGAAGCAGGCCCTCCTGCACCTCGAACGGATCGGGATCTTTTTGCATGATGGGTTTCATGTGTCTTTTTCACTCGTTTGTGTTTCCTCGCTCTTTTTAGCTTTTCTTCAGCTTCTGTTTGGGGTTTTCTTTTTGATCCGGCCAGTTTCAGCCATATTTAGAGCCAGGGCGCTTTTCACTTCGAGGGTTGGCTACCCCGACCCTTTGCGGGGAAAGGGAAAGATGGCTTTTTCCGGCCTGAGGGTCATTATTGATTTGCTCACGCTTCCCGCTCTTGAGGTTTTTCTGTCAGTTTTCATGTTGGGTCTGGAGACAAAGGCCAGAAGATTTCAGGCTCTGGGTTATCGTTTGGGAAGTCTGTGCTGCACTCAAGCGCGAGTTAGAAACTTGGGACAGTATTGCAACTTGGAAGCTGTCCACGAGCCGCACATAATGGTAAGAGTCATTCACAATATCATGTTTCAAGCGGGGGATGGCTTTGGGGCTGTTGTGGGGGACAGGCCCGTGGAGGGCCCGTGGTGGCCTTGCTCTGAAGGTTGAGATACCTTTGAAGCAATTGGAGGCACTTAGAGATGCTCCATTGTGGGCATGGTGTGTGTTGCAATCGTTCTGTCAACAGATGAGGCCGCGTCGTCTGGCTCGAGAGCGCACGGGCTCGCAAAGTTTTCTGGCTCTTTTCATATTGTGCCTCGTATTCCTTGATGAGTACCTCATACACAAAGACACGCCTGCGTCCACCTGCGCACACACATGCCTTCGTACACACACGTGCACATGTCTACGCAAAAGCGAACAAATACACGTACATCGTGCACAAGTGCGTACGTACGTACATCATTTTGCACATACTTACCTACAAGCACTCACGCACCACGCTACACTACGCTACATTACCTTGCGCTGTGCTACATTACATTGCGTTACGTTGCATGCGCGCACACACGCACGTCTAAATGTTTGCACACACACCTGCGTACATATACATACACGCACACACACACATACAAACGTAAATGCTAAAACCACACACGCACGCTTGCGTAAACAATACACAGACACATGCACACACACACATCGATTAGCCACATTGCATTACATTACGCTACGTTACATTACGTTGAGTTAAGTTACATTACGTTGCGTTACAGTACGTTACATTACATTTCATTTCATTACTCACATGCATACGTTGCACACACACACACACACACACACGCACATATGTTCTCACCGCAAATCGGCCGGTGGACCGCCTCGGACCAAAAGGGATGCCCAATTTTTCCATGGAACCCCACTGGGCGTCTGAGCTGCGCGAATGGCTCAGGAACGGCCTGGCGGAGCTGGCGGGCCGTGACTTCGCGCGCTTCGTGTTCCGAGTCGCCTTCGAGGCGCTGGGCCAGGCGGGGGAAAGACGGCGAGCGAGGGGGAGTGGGATTGAAAATGAAGGGGTTGATCAAAAGGTCCGGTAAGCATGGGATGACCATTTGGGAAACCCACAAAGATAATATCTTCCCACTAAATGGGAAAAGATACCGGTGGGGACCAGGAATGTTGATCAACTCCATGGCGTGTCTGTTGTTGAGGGTGCGTCTTTAAAACAAGCCCCGTGGGTATTGAATGTCTCCTCTTTGCCGAAAATCCAACGGGCCCCAGTCTTGCGGCCAAATTCTGGCAGTTAGCCAACCCATGTGGCCAGCTGATTTTTCGGGCGTTTACCGTCCCTGAGCGTAGCGACCCACGCTCAACGAACCCAGCAATCAACAGGAGGACATCCTGGTGGTGCTCGTCACGGGCCCCCAAGATGACGCCTTGGAAGGCGTGGAGGATGCCCCGTCGAACTTTGTGCTGCGGCGCGCAGTGCAGCAGCTGGAGGTGCCGAGCTCAGGGTGTTTGGTTTGGCGCATGGGCTGGCTGCCTGGCAGCTGCGGAGGTCTATGTGACCCCACAAATGCTGTCAGGCCACTCAAGTGCTCCAATAATTAAGAAGCTTGGGAATTCTGCCTCGCCGCTTCGCGCGCGAGGTGCTGCCAAAGTGCCAGGCCTTCATCACCCACGGGGGCGCCAACAGCGTGCACGAGGCGCGGAAATGGAATTTGATGCAGAGCCCAGCAGCCGTCTGCGCAGAGCTGCCAACTTACCCCCAAACATGGCCCTGAGTTGCCCAAAGCTGTCCTTTGAGCGTTTCAATTCCAAGCGGTATCCATGTTGATGTTGCCACTTGTCGTGGTAGCCGAAACAGTTGACATCTTATGCCCAGGTCTTTTGGACGAGTGCGTGTTGGGGCCTGGTCACGATTTCCATCGCGATGCCAAGTAGATTAGCAGGCTGCCCTAGTGTTCTTGGAAGGGCGTTTCTTTATTTGGACGACCCTGTTCGACCAAAGGGTGTGATCGATTTTCTTGAGCCGATCTGTGGCCATGTCCATTGGCTTCATGGTCGCCATGCTCCGGGATCCATTTACGTCCAGTTGGTTCCCGAACGAAAATTGGTTGCAAGTATAGATCGGGAGCGGCGACGTAAATTACGCCGCCTCCCAAGACCCATCTTCGATCTGATAAGCCATTAAGGGAGTAAAGCCGGACAGCCTCAAACCGGCTCCCAGTCAAGTCACATTGTGGAAAGATTGAAAACACATACAGACCTACCTACCTGCCTGCCTGCCTATACCTACCTATCTACCTACCTACGTACAGACACACACAAACACACACTCATACATACATGCACATACACACATGTACACACACATGTGTACCATATACGCACATATACACACAAGCACACACACACCCACACCCACACACCCACACACTCACACACCCACACATCCACACATCCACACACCCACACACCCACACACCCACACACGCACACACGCACACACGCACACGCACACACACGCACGCGCACACACGCACACCCACACACACACACACCCACACCCACACCCACACCCACACCCACACCCGCACGCGCACGCGCACGCGCACGCGCACGCGCACGCGCACGCGCACGCGCACGCGCACGCGCACTGCG